AATGAGGCAAATATTGTAAACAAAGATTCTCCTATTGAAAACCGCCCTATCAACTAGTTATACTGTTTATAGCAGCCTAGATTTAGACTGGCTTTTGATTTCAATATAGGTACACAACGGCACTTTTGATATTTGATTATGAGGTCTTTGTGGGTACAGTCAATTATTCATTTTTTCTTTATTTTCAAGCTTGCTTCTGGAATTTGACACAACAGGATCCTGTAAAAGAGTTTTTGGAAAATTAACAAATTCGTAGCGTAGTATTGATCCGTCAAAGCATAACTGCTGAACAGTGCTGGAAACTGTTGCCAGCCGGATCAGATTCATAATTATAAGGATGAAATTCACTGCAAATGTACTGTTTTTCGGTTTATTTTGGAAAGCGCTATACGGGCCGAGTATATTGCCTCGTCTAAATTTGGTTTTGTAATCTTCCAGATGCGTGAGACTGGATCAGTTCAGCAGATTTGGAATTTGAGATGGACTGTTATGTGTTTAAAAAACGTGTGTTTCCACGAGATGTTCTTCAAACGACTTAAGTTCAGGAAAGAAGAGATTTCACCATTTATATATATTTAAAACCTACTTTATTTGGTTTTGCTGCGGAGCCTTTTACTAAAGCAGGATAAAAAGCAAAAATGGTACACGACTTATCAGGAGCTCAAATATTAGTCTCTATATTAAGCACATAGTATTGATTTTCTTCATTCTCTTACACCATGTACACATCTCTTCTCTCAAGAATTCTGTGTTCTTTCAACATCTATAGAAGCCTTACAATAACTGGAGACTGACTAGAAAACTTACTTCAGTCTGTAGACTCTAATGTACATTATTTTTCTGTCCGTCTATCAACTGTATATATATTTTCTTGAAAAACTGTAAATGCATGAGTAAATAAAGTTGGTGTTGTTGTTATTGTAAATCTATTTTATTGTCCTGTCTCGAGCATCTAATTCGTGATTGGCGACAAGAACCTGCGAGTCGAGGTCTTTCATCTCCATTTCTTCCCGGTCCTTTTTGTAACAATTAAATAATTTAAAGTCTACTTTCTGAAATACAGTAAGTACTAGTAGTTATATTAGACAGATAGTATTTCGTATGTCAGACGAAGCCTATGGGCCAATGATATTTTTTAAAACTTTGTTGTTAATTTACTGATCTCTCGTCGTAGGTCTACGCTTAATCCTTTTTGCTTTTTGTTATTGCAACTAAACAAATTTACGCCAACTTTTTATGCGTCTTTGTTTTCATTCGGTCAAAGTAGCTGTGGATTCACGAGAGGTAGCCATCTCCCCCACTGGGGTACCCCCCTAAGTAGAGTATACAGGGAGACTCCGCTTGGTAGGGGCCCTTTACCAGGCCGGAGATCGATAAAACGGTAGAGTTTTCACGAGTTGAAGTATAGACAGGTATAGATAGGTATTCAAAAAGGGCCTTTCAAAATATTGTGAACAGGTATATTAGCGACGAGGAAGAGCGCAGACCTTTTTGTTCGGTTTGAAATGGACGACTTGGGTTTTTCTTTTAGGGTTGAAATACTCTGGTGGACCAAGGAAAGCGAAGAATGATCATCGCAGTAAATTTTCCAATTTAAACACTTGGAAAGAAGAAGTGTGAAAAAAAATCAGGGCTTCAACGGGATTCGAACCCGTGACCTCCGCGAATACCGGTGCGATGCTCTACCAACTGAGCTATGAAGCCACACATTTGGAGNATCTCCATTTCTTCCCGGTCCTTTTTGTAACAATTAAATAATTTAAAGTCTACTTTCTGAAATACAGTAAGTACTAGTAGTTATATTAGACAGGCCTATGGACCAATGATATTTATTGAAATTTTGTAGTTAATTTGCTCATCTCTCGTCGTAGGTCTACGCTTAATCCTCTTTGCTTTCTGTTATTGCAACTAAACAAATTTACGCCAGCTCTTTTATGCATGCGTCTTTTTTTTATTCGGTCAAAGTAGCTGTGGATTCACGAGAGGTAGCCATCTCCCCCATTGGGGTACCCCCCTAAATAGAGTATACAGGGAGACTCCGCTTCGTAAGGGTCCTTTTCCAGGCCGGAGGTATATAAAGCGGTGGGGTTTTCACGATTTAAAGTATAGACAGGTATAGGTAGGTATTCAAAAGGGCCTTTCAAAATATTGTGAACAGGTATACTAGTGACGAGAAAGAGCGCAGACCTTTTTTTTTGGTTGAAATGGACGACTTGGGTTTTTCTTTTAGGGTTGAAATAATCTAGTGGACCCTTGTTGGGTAGAAAGATTTCTGCAGGTCAGTAAAATGGTCGGCATGGAAGGTACAAGGGAGGGTTACCTTTTCTGTTAAAAATGGTTTAAAAATGTTTGGAGGTGACGGGGGCGGGGGTATCATCCCATTATAACATTAAGTCGCGTACAACCTCTTGGGTAGCCGGATAGATCCTTAGACTCCGGAGTACCACACAGAATGCTATGAAGAAAGTTAAGGCTGGAGTCAATTCCCAAAACTTACTTTAGCACGTGCAATGTCTGTCCAACTTTGCAAGTAAAGCATTCTAGCACTATAAACTTATTCCAGTTGAATTAACTAGAACTCCACAACATGTGAAGTGCAGTGCAATTGGTTCTTTTAACGAACAAAAACTTTCCAGAAATCACCAGACGATACATTAACATTATAGTCATCGCATTCCAATCTCCCTTGATCCTGATACAAATGCCAATGGTATAAACTGACCACAAAAGCAACGTGATTGTATAATCTCCCATGAATCCCGTACGAAGGGCCCCATTTACCAATCTTAAAAACAATATTTTCCGACTGTGCGGCCCAACCATCGGCTCCCCACTCATGACAGCGTTTGGCCATCTCCGAGTCGTCATCATCCATCGTTACAAACGAGCCACAGGCGTAGGGCTGGACATTTGACTGACCGCTAAAGTACTGGACCACAGCTTCCCCAGAGCTGTTAGTGACCGTGGCCACGTGGAACGTACGTCCCCCTTGCTTACTGCAGTGGAATCGCAGTTGACTGAAAGACAGGTGTGTTCTCAGTTCGAGCATTGCGCTGTCTGTAAGAAACGTCTTATTGTTATCACAGCTGCTTATTCCGTGGTATGATGTCTCAAATGACAACGGGAGGGGAGATGAGCCGTCAATCACAACGTTAGAGACAAGAAGCCAGCCTCCTGAAATCAAGAAACAATCAGTGTTTATTTGACGAACGAAACGTTTCATGGTCTTCAACAAGGCTGAAAAATTTATTTTATACGAAAATTCATTCTAAAAACTTTAGCA